ANATTCTGCCACAGACTTAAAGTCAGCAAGTGTGACCCTTTCATAATCCACATAGTCAAACATTATTGTACTCCCACCTAGATATGCAGAATATTTTTTCCCAATATCAAATTTACCCCCAAATTCTAGGGTGACTGTGAAGAATTTACTAGTTGAACCTGCAGTAACAATAAAAATTACAATGAAAAAGCATCCAGGAAATGAAAATAGTGTAGACTGACAAAATTAAAATTAAAATTAAATACATACTATATCTAGGAGCTGGGGAACATTCTTTGTCACTGGGTCGTATTTGAATCTCGCAGTCGGAAACACGAAGGCCTCTTGCTAACTTCAAAATGGGATTCGATTTTCGAACTGGTTTTTTCTTCATTGTGACAGTGGTTGATTGATTAAGGTCGAAATTGATGTAAGTGATTGAACTGGAAGATAATCTAGGTTAGTTTTTCTTCATTATGTGAGTGATTGAGGTCGAAATTGAAATGAAGATAATCTAGGGTTTTTTCTTCACGATTGAAATGCAATAGGGGCGGGGCAGACGTACAGGTGTGTGGGATTTCCCTCCAAAATTAAGCCACATGTCCACGGTGTCGGCCACGTAAATTCCACGCATGAATATACCGAAAGATTAAATGCCACGTAATAAGATAATCAGGCCACGTCAGATTTTTATCCCGCAGGGGTGATTAATGTATCGTTTCCGACGAAAATGCCAACTTCGCGTGTCTTTTCCGAGAGGGACAACATAATGTCTCTTTTGTTGACAACGCCCAACTTAGTGTATCTTTTTTGTATTTTTGCCAAAAAGTATTAGTAACACATTTATATATTAGGGAGCTTGTACAAATTTTGGGATGCAGTACGTGCGAATATATCCTCCCAATGAATAATCATGTCGCCCATAAAAGTGATAAAACTACGAACTGGACGATATTGTCACCTTAATTTTGTTGTTGGAAGGAATCCCTTCTTATTTCACTTTCTCCATTCTTAATAGTTTACTTGAATGCAAAGTTTGAATATATAAAAAAAGGAAGATATTTGTGTAAGAAAAATTAGTTTTGTACCGATTCAACGGTTCCATTTTTCGTAAGTAGAAGACTTAGAAAATTCTCAAAAACTATTTTAAGGTGAATGAGAAATTAATTCTAAGTGTTATATATTGAATAATTGAGTTTAAGTAACTCAAATGTTGTAAGGGTTCACAAACATTATGTTTTGATAAATGTTTGGAAAAAGTATACGAGCCATAATCAAGCATTACGTATGCTAGAATTGTATAAGGGCTTGTTGGGGACAAGTAGGAAAAAATGGAACTAAATTTCGAGTCCGAACGAATGCGTATGAGCTCCCGGAGTGCAGCTGGGCGCCAGGCCTCGTCGCGAGCGCGACGCCCGTCACGGGCGCGACACTCTGGGCGCCAGGCATGTCGCGGGCGCGTCAGTCGTCACGGGCGCGACAGTCCATCTTCCGTAGCTTCTGTGAAACGCGACTGGCCGTCGTGGGCGCGACGAGGTCGCGACACTGAAGCACCTGTTCGTATTGGAATGGTTCCTAACCGGTTTTAATCGACCGGGCACGTTCCACAAGGTGCCTTTTGATGCCTTGAACTCCCTGGAGATGTGTTATAACATCTATAAATACCCATGAAGTGAAAGACTCAAACACATGAAATTTTCCAAGAGTCTTTGCATCCTTTTACAAAGTTCATATTCATCTTGTGTTCTTTGTGTTATTTCTTATCTTGAGAGTTCCGAAACTTGAGTATTGTTCACCGAAGGTTTGTGTATTTGAGTTACCGCTATACACAAATCGAAGTCATTGTATCTTGGAGGCGTTAGCCGTGAACCGTGGGTAATATATGGGGCTAGTTCGTCTTAAGGAGAGCGTACCTTACGTGCCTCGCCTTTATTCGTTTTTTGTCATTTTTCTTCTGATTTCTTAAGCCATTTTCTTGAGATTCACACACACACATATAACAGTATGATTTTTAACTGAATCAAATTGTAAGGTAAACAATCACCTAGGCGAAAATAACTTTGTACTTACCAAAATAAAAAATGTTTATTAATATAAGTCTATCATTTGAAAAAGAAAAAACAAAGAAACTCGCACAAACTACTTTAGTTCCATCAAGGTTTTAATAACGAGTGGCGCTAGGGTAAATTATAACACGCGTCCCAAATGATAAGACGTAACTGAGTTGAGTTGAACTCAAACTCGTGGTACTTGAGCTAGAAACAGTAATAAAGCTCAAGTCGACGTTTATCAATATTAATCAAGCAAACAATACGAGGCTATATAATAGTTCTTCTTTTCAAGCCGACCTGGGCCTAATTCACCAACTAAACGAATTTTAAATGAGCAAGAATTCAACTCATTTATCAAACAATTTCAGTCGAATCGATCTCACGTGATAATAAGATTTTCGATGTGAATATAATTTCAACACATATTTTAGATTTAAGCAATTAAAATTTTGAAAATTGTTGTACTCAGCAGGCTACTAAACGACTCACATTGAATTTGAGCTGCTGATATTCAAACTCGAACTCAAACCCTTATCAAACTTGAGTCTCAACGAGTTGAGTTCGAGCTTTTGATACTCAAACTCGGATTCATACCCTTATCAATTTTAAGCCCAACGAACATATGTATGTAAAAAAAATTAAAAAATTACGTAAAAATTCTTATTTATCAAGCCTAATGAGTATTAACTCGATTCATTAGCTATATGAACTCAAGTTCGGTTCGTTTATCTAACAAGTCGAACAAACTCGATTTAAGCCGAGGCGAGCTCATAAACGACTCATTGACAATTCTTTGATATTTTCTCTCTCTCTCTCTCTCTTTTTTT